TTAAAAATTTGTCTGTGGTTATTTTTATTCAAAACTTATGGCGTTTTTTTTTTAAATCGCACACCCTTTTTCTTGAGAATATTTAGGCTTAAATGTAATTTTATCATCATAAAGAGCTTTTTTAGAGCTAAGAAAAAACACAATAATAACTCCGCTATACTAATTGTGATTTACTAAATTCATATCATATTGAATTAATAAGTAGCACTAAATGTAGTACACTGAAATTGTGTGTGATTATGTCTTTTTTTAAAATTAATCTTATGTTTATATTACTTAACTTCTCTCTAATAATGCACAGAGCTGAATTAGTTTTTTTCAAAGAAGTTTTCTTCCTAAGATAAAGAATGGGGGGGGGCAGAGTACATTCTTATTTGGATGGCTGTGTTACGTGAATGGCGATCCCACACGGAATGTACTACATTAACATCATTTTTTAATTCTAATACAACAAATGAATTTTTTTACACAAAATATCAAAATAAAAATATTTATTTTACAAAAATATTTTAAACAATACTTTTTAGCAGCAGGTGAAATTTACCTTACATAATTGATAAATGACATTAAAATGCTCAGGATAAAATAATACAAATAAAACATACGCTCAAAACCTACTACTGCACAAATATTTTGAAACAAACAGAAAATACACATTTACAAACATTAAACATACAAATGAATCAGATACATTAAATAAATTCAAACCATATATTTTCAGTATAATGAAACATTTAAATATAACACAAATGAGAGTTATAAATTAATAAAAAATAATAAACCAATACATTTATAAGAAATATATATATTTATGGCTTTTCATCACCATTATCTCTTTCTTAGTAATATTAGACTGAAGGTCCAAAAATATTTAATTTGTTTCTTACACCACACAAAGCTGAAATCTTCAATGATGGCTTGAATATAAATATCTTCAAATTAGTAGATAGATGTCTATATAATTATATATATATATATATATAATTTAAATATAATTATTAAATCGCAAAGTGGACGGATATATTAAATAAAATAAAATAACAGGTCTAAATTACTACCAAGCTGCCAGCTACCAGAAAGTAATATACATGTGTTACTGAAGAAATCTTAGAATGTCAAAAATCACCAATACTCTTATTCTTAAGTAAAATATGGTTATTAATACTAAAATCCATTATTTTTCCATGCTTTATTATAAATAATTATCAACAAACACAATAAAATATTTTAATAATAAAACTGTATAACAAATTAAGCATAGAATGAGCAAAAAATTATGACATTAAAGACAAGTGTCTTAGGCAACAAAGCACTTTATAACCTAAGCATGGACTTGTTGCATAAGACAAGTGTCTTATGCAACAAAGCACTTTATAATATTGTAATATTACGTATTTTTCATCTGCACATAGTGTTATAAGTTTCACTAACTGTCATTATAAAAGTACTTTGTAGCACCTTCTTGAATGTTGTGAATTATAACAATTTTCTAAAAAACGTGGGTGAAAAAAAGCTATATAAAAGAAAGCCATATTTAAATAGCAGAATTTAACTTCTAGTTTTGTACAACAATATTTATTTGGTTTTTAAATATACATTTAAAAAAGAATACAAAAATGAGAAAAATTCTGGTACTTTTCTGTTAACTCATTTACACTAGATTATATGTTTTGCTTAGCACCTAATAAGAATCTACAGTAATTTGTGTGAAGAAAACCATACACCACAGAAGTATTAAATTAAAAACCAGCACAAGCATTCACAATGATTACAGCAATCTTGTAATTATATGGCCATTTTTACTGATTCTGGCAAAAGATAAGAGTGAAATCATATACTACCTGAATGTTCATTCATTTACTACAGTATAAATGGCACCTCTCAGTTACACAAAATGGAAATTTTCAATGCAGACATTTACTGACATTCCTTTCCACCAATTATGGAACTTTTAAGGAAATCAATCTTGGTGGTTTATTTTTAGGCCTTCCTCATTTTTATCCCTTCTATTTATGGCTATTCTTATGAAGAAATGAGTTCTTTTATTTTTCATCTGTGATCTGAATTCCTCAATGAATGGATAGTGCAGAATTCTACTGAAGCATTCTCAATGAATTCCAATAATTTATCAGCAGAATAATGCGAAAATACACAAAAGTAGTGTTAAAAAGCAATGGTCTAAGCAGCACCACATCTACAGCGTGACCTGGCCCACCAGCAGCCGAGCAGTAAAATCGAGTTCTGACCTGGGTTCATTTCCAGGCGAATGGGCTGGCTGCATGGGCATTGTTATGGTTTTCCTCATGTGTAACCTGTATATGAGCCAGTTTCCCTTAGAAAGCCTTCCGCAAAGGGATCCCTCCTATTAGGCTAGTGTGTTTTGCCATAATAAACTAAATCAAGGTTTCTTAAATTGTGGGTCCTGACCTGCAGCAGGGGGTCACCAAAAATTTTAACAGTTTTGATATTTCTTTAACTTATTATAATAATTTTACAATTATCAAATATGTTTACACAATGTATCTGAAAATATATAAAGATAAGACAATTCAGACAAAGGAAAAAACAAAAACGTTTTGACACATTCTTTTATAATATAAACGTTCCTTGCTTTGCACATGACACTGTCATTTTGTCTGTTACTTATTTAAAATTTTCACATTGTTCTGTCTTAAAATTAGAAATTAAAGTTAATGGCCTAAAATTGCAAGAGTATATTAGAGTACAATAGAAAAAATTGACAGTTTCACTCGCTTGTGTTTCGGATTTGCGTAATACTTATGGATCCCACAAAATTTTTGTAAATATTATGGGGTTCTGAGGGCCGAGAAAAAATCTGTGTGATAAAAAGAGGTCATGACTCAAAAAAGTTTAAGAAACCCTGAACTAAAGCAAAGCAAACCAATCTACAAGGTGACCAAAAGAAAACTGGCCTGGAAAATGTGTATAATTCTGACACTAAATTTACTTTTGTTGACAAACAAGTTGCTAGAGAGACAGTTTCGTGCCATTTTGTCACTAAGACTTTCATTACATATTTTGCTCAAAGTTTCACCAAGACACTTCTATTCTTAAAATCTTCAGCAAACAGTTCAATACAGATTTTTCATGAATTGTACTTTGCATAATACTCAACAATGAACACATATTGTTTTATCAGTAGTACCACTTTGCGTTGCATTCAACTGATTTCTAAACATCTGTTATAGCTTCTGATGATACCTTTATACAGCATGTTTTCATGAAATTTCAAAAACACTTTTCCAGGCCAGTTTTATTTTGGCTATCCTGTAGCTGTTGAGAATGGTTTGACTCACAGAAAACACTGGAGAAATTTTTGTGCACCTTATATAAGGCAATAACAAGCAGTATAAGGTTGTACAGAAAATCATGAGAGTAATTTTCAGTGTGCAACATAATCTCAAACTAAATCTGCTTCAAAGGATGGCAGAGTCAATGACGCATTTATTATTTTAAGTTACTGTGAATGATCTAGCACTTAGCAAAGACTAACTACTTGTCCAAACTCCATGGTTCAGAATTTGGATCTTATGTAAGACTTGGCTATTTATGTGCATCTTCCCAACTTTTCTTAGGTGTAATATCACTCATCCCCTTTAGTTCACAATAATCAAAATTCTTAGTAATGATATGCTAAATGATCAATAGGTTTGGCCTTTCCCAACAAATATGCTAAATTGTAAGTGTCTGACCATTTAGATAAAAAAAAAATTTAAACAAAGAATAACCCATCTATTGTTAAATTAACATCAATATTTTTATCTGTTGTTCATGTTGAAAATAAAGGTCTTGTTTATAGCCATATATGGTTTTTTATATACAGTCTGAAACAAAATTTGCAATCTACAAAGTATTAAGCAAAGTAGTTCAGAGTAATTGATTTGAAAGTGAAAATGTGCGAGAATTCTTTTGAGATACTGAATAATTTGTAGATAAAAAAGCCGTTACATGAGATAGTACCCAAAATGGAAGTCTTATCAAGACTTACCGTTATCAAAGTAAAATATATAATATTATTAAATAATTAATTACTGAATTTTCATGCTTTTTTACAGGGGAAAAAAATGCAAATAATATGGATTAAAGTGTTAGTATACTGAAAGAAAAGTCAAACTAATGACTGTTATATCTAATTACCACTACTATATTTGACAGTAAAAACTGTGAGGTAGAATTAAAAGAAAGTACTACCAGAATTCTATAAGAGAGAAACAAATTTCTTTTAAATGAAAATTTTGGCACATTTGAAGATAAGCGTTTTGTTTTCTTCTTTTAAAAAAATTTTACCATAAAGCATTTCAAACATCAAATCTAAAGCATGTTCCAACAAAATGGGTTTAAAAAAATACTCTCATTTCATAAAAAGTACATAACAGCTAATTATCAGACATAATTTGTAAGATTTATAGGTTCACATTTCATTTTATAGTTATATCTTCTAAGAAATTTATTTTTTCAGAAGCTTAAAAACGGTCTTCAAATACATATATAAAATTTCAAAGATGGAAGACTTCTTTTAATTAAGAATTTGCAGTATAAGAACATTGTACTTTTAAGATGCCATTTAAAAAAATTAAATTCTTAAGACAGCCAATGAAAATAATTACAGTAAAAAATTTGAAAAGTAGAGAGGAAAAAATATTAACCATACTGGATTCTATGACATAGACTTGATTTTCAAGTTAGCCAAAACAACAACCTTATGTTTGGCATACTGTAATCAAAATATTGATTTTGAGGGTCAAACACAAGGTTGCTATTTTGGCTGATTTGAAGTTTTACTTTGATGTGCAATGGTACCTTGGCATATGCTATTAATCCATCCTAGATCCTTGAACATATACCAAATAAACTTTCCATTAAGAAATAAAAAGAAAATAATTAGATTTTCCATTAAAAGTTTAAAGATATAGAAAAACATAAAACATCAAGTACAGTTAAAACAATTAAAAAAATGTTTACAATTATTACAGTTAAAAATTACAGTTTCTATGCAAAAACAAGCAATTTGGCCAGCGGGGGAAGAAGGCAGTTTTTTCGGTGCACAAAACTGAAAGTTTACTCTCATTGTTCGGTTACTAATATATCTAATAAAAACATTTCACTTGCATAATAAGAATTGGGTACATAAATACGAAGTAGAAATTCTTTTAGAAAAGCACCAATTAACAGTACATAGTGGATTATAAAATTTTTCTATGGCAGCAGACATTAACAGTTTGCAGAACTGATTTCTTTTCTTTAAACTTGAACACACTGCTAGAAGATTTAATGAAATAACAAAAAGTTAAACTGCTTCTAAAATTACTCACAAATAACTAGCAGTAAACTATTCCATTTTCTGTACAAACAATCATTTCTGGAAATCTGTGTTCCTTCTCCTTTGTTTCCATTAAATAACTGATCAGACAGGAAGTTATGATTTGTTGAAGCTTTTTACACCATAAATATCAATACATGATTTGCTTAATTAAACTAATACAGATTAAAAACACACGCAACACAATTTGAACTGCTAAAATTAAAATTAATACTAATCACTGCACACAAACATGGTTACCCAGCTGTGTCTTCAAATTAAATAGTTTGCCACAAAATTCGCACATAAATGACTTCTCTCCAGTATGAAGACGGAAATGGCGCATCATGTCAGTTTTTGCACTGAAACCCCGACCACAGAATCCACACGTGAAAGGTCTTTCCCCAGTATGAACACGTACGTGAATATTTAGTTTATCTTTCCTATAAAATTCTTTTCCACAATATTCACAATTAAAATGCTTTTCTCCAGTATGCACACGAGTATGTCTTAATAAATCATTTTTACGGCTGAATTTTTTCCCACATGCATCGCAAACAAATGGCTTTTCTCCGCTATGGGACTGAACATGACGTGATAGATCCTTTCGTTCACAAAAACTTTTTTCACACTGTTCACAATCAAAATTTTTTTCACCCGTGTGAATTCGTTGATGGCGTACAAGCTCATTTTTTTCACGAAATTTTTTATTACATTGGTCACAAGCATATGATTGATAACCTGTGTGCCTACGCATATGCTTTTGCAGACTTGTTTGAAAAGTAAATTCTTTTGTGCAGTATTTACAATTAAAAGTTTTCTCCCCTGTGGAATTACATAAATGTCTTAACAAATCTATATGATTGTTAAATTCTTCTCCACAACGTTCGCAATCATAAGTTTCATTCCCAATATGAATTGACAAATGTTTTTCAAAATTAACAATTTTTTGTGTAGAATATAAGCAATGTTCACATTTCAGATCTACAGACGACTCTTCATCATGATAACTTAATTTTCTCCTAGGAAGAATTCCAGCAGAATAAAAAAATGCATCAATTCCATCTAAAAATAAATAAATAAAATCCATATAAAACAGTAATAACAGTTAATAAAACATAATTGAAAGAGAAAAATTTTCCTAAAACGATCTAATAGATCATTTAAACATAAGTATCTTAACCTTTAAACATAAGGATAACAAAACTTAAATTACATTTAGGAATATCCATTATTATCAAATGTAAATATAAAACTACAAAAAAGACTAAATAAATTCATTTTTATCAGTTATTTTTAACAAAAGGAATTATTAGATAGAATTAAATAAGCAGAAATAAAAAGCTCGTTTAAATTAATTAAAAAGCTCAACAAAATAATATGCTAAATAGTTTAATATATTTCAGAAAATTATATTTTAAACATTGTTATAAATAACCTAACTTATATCACAATACAATTTAAATTACATATGTTAAAGTCTTATTATTAAAATGTTAAAATATATAATAAATCTCTAGTACAAATTTATCAAAAAATTTCTTTAGGTTTGCAACAAAATATTGATGAATCTATATACATATTTTTTTGCCAACAGAACTTTTAAAATTCTGACTGAGGTTTGAATTTAAAAAACATGTAGAAATCAGTCAGTATTACAAACAAAACTTAACATAATTATTTTATAATACAATTATTAAATAAAAGACATGAACCAAATTACACATGAAAATTTCAAATAATTAATAAATTTAAAAATGCCTTGAAATAGTTTAAGAATTAAACTAGCTAAAACCACATTTTAAAACTTTTCTGGTAAGAATTATTTTATATGTGACCTTTTCTGATATGTACATTCAAACAGAATAAATGCAAATCTTAAAAAAATCATAAATAAAGCACAAATAAAGCATTAAATGCAAAAATTTAATACATTTATTATCTACTGTTAACACTTGCAAATTCATATCTAAGCTACATGCTTTTTATTCAATAAATAAATAAAGAAAACGGAAGCAGTCTCAAAAATAAATATGTAAATAACACTTTAAAACTTAACATTCAAATATATGCACATAGAATCCATCAACCAAAATAAATAAATGCAAATAAAAAACTTCATAGTTTATTATGAAAAGGAATAAATAGCTGATATAAAAGGATATCTGCAACAGAATAATAAATTGCAATTATAATTTTTCCATGCTAATTTTATATCTCATTAAGACCTGGAAAAAAAAAAGTGAAAATAAAACATCATAAGCATGAGGGAATTTATAAAAATTTCTAAGTAGCAATAAATATCTGTACATGCAAAAGGGAAAAGAAGGAAAACTGATGTGAATGCTTTTACTATTTTAAACGAAAAATACCTGACAATTTTATTCAAATACCTTTTCTAAGATTTTAATAAGAAAAGACAGCTAAATGTAACATGGCATAAATCAATTTCAGCAACAGTTCCTGGAAATGCAGCAATATTTAGGATTTAGTAATGCTGATAAAAAATATTTCAGTTTTTAAAAATTGAAAAACAAACCAATTCAAGTTATAAGAAGATGTAACACCAGAAATAATTCTAATATTGATAATTCTCATAAATTACCGATATACTTTTATATATTTATATGCAACTTAACTAAGTAATAAAATAATGACTATTCATTCGAGATACCAAAATCAAAATTTAAAGAAAGGAAATAAAAATCTTAATTTTTTTTCATTTATTTGGACTAAAATTTGATTCATTAAGATAGATAATTCAAATAATAACTGATTTGTACCTATTGCCCCCCACAGAACATAAATTACCTACTATCTTCAATTAATTCTTCATATTTATAATTGTACACTGCGCAAAAAAAAAAAAAAAAAAAAAAAAAAAAAAAAAAAAAAAAAAAAGGACAGTTCTATATCTCCCGTTCTACTGGGCCGATTGACAAAATTAAACTTGTGCTTTTCATGTCTCGATAGCGCGACTTAGGATATGCATTAGATTTACATATAGCATTGTTCTAAAATAGGTATTTTGACACAAAAACGGACTTTTTCTGACATAACATACCAATTTTTTTCCCATATTTCCATTCTATGACTCAAATTACGCCAAACTACCAAGTTTTGTAAAAATCACAGTAGTTTTTATAAAATTAGCTCCTCAATGTTAATTGAGTTTGGTATATATTTATTAATCACTCTTTTTTTATTAAACTTATTTGATTCTTCCTTTCACATTTTGAAATTCAGGTTAATTCCAAATAAAATTCACCCATTTTTATGATTTACTTCTAAAATTTGTATTTTTAAATAATTTTTATAAATTAAAAAAAACTGAATTATAGTCTGTAAATTTTTTACCATAATCTTAAAGTTGACGTATTTCTAAGCATACCTGCAAAAAATTACAGCTTTTTATTCAAAATTTCCGAAGATACACGTGAATTTATATATAGGCACATTTTTTGAAATTTGGCATATTTGTTGAAAGCGATATAAAACATCAATGTGGTTTAGACACTTTGCTAAAATTATTTGAAAGAAGTAGAAACGATGCATGACTTTTTTTCGCATTCATGCAACAATGTAAAAAGGATAGGAAAGAGGTGAGCCTTTTTTCCTCGCTTCATGCGGGATAATGGAAGGGAAAGGAAAATTGGTTGCCACATATTAAGAAGTCCACCAAATCAATTATTCTTGGCTAAAATTTAAAAACATAATTGCGGCCAAGATGTAAATTATTTGAATTTCTCCGGAAATTTTGCACCCAATTTTACAAAATTTAATATCTAGGAATAATTTGAGTCGTAGAATCGAAATATGGAAAAAAAAAATTCATCAATCCTAACAGAGGTAGTAAAGATCTCATTGGGGTAGCTTTCCTTTAAAGTAGGGGTCTTCAACCCATGGGCTGGCTGCTGAAGCCATTTTAGTGGCCCCACATTTGAATGTGAAGAAAAATTGAAGAATATTTATAAATTTTTATTTCAAGAAAAATTACCTTGTGAGCTTTTTGTTGTAATTTTTTTCTCTTATTCTTGATATTATTCAAAATAAAATTTTCTGAAAATGACAAATTTTTCAAAAATTTCACTTCATCTTATGCATTTTTAAAAATAGAAAAAAAAAAAAAAAAAAAAATGACTACACATAAAATCTCAATTCCATAAAAATTTTTCAACATCAATCTTTCGTCAGTACTTCACCAATAGTGACGTTGAGTGTGCTACTACAACAGAGGGAAGGGGGAAATAAATTAACAGAATTCTATAATGTTGCAGTCAGTTATCAAAGGGAACGGTGATCCTAAACATGCTGTTTAATTTTTTCTACAGATTTTCTACAGTTGATTTTAATATAGGTTATTCATGCTCATTCTACATGTTAAAATTCAGAAGCGTTTATGGTCTTTGAATGAGTATACAATTGCAAGCCATGATAACAAAAAAAGAAAAGTGGTCAGATCTTTATTTTTGCTTGTACATAAGGGTAAAGCAAGTTGCTTATTTGCATTGACAGTGTAGCTTTGACAAAGGAATACAACATTAAGAAACATTATGATACTAAGCACAGTGAGAAATATTCTGCATTGAAAGGTCATTCTTGAAGTGATAAGGTGAGTGAATTAAAATAAAAACTAAATTTTCAGCAATCTTTCTTTACCACAGCGAATAAAGAATCTGAAAATAGTGTTCGTGTTAATACATGATAACAGAAAAAAATTGCTTAGCGTGGAAAACCCTTTGCTGATGCAGAATTTGTAAAATAATGTCTGCAGAATGTAGTTGATGTGCTTTGTCCATCACAGGCTCAAGTCATATCAAATATTAGCTTGTCTGGTGTCACAGCAGCGAGAAGTATAGAGGATCTCGCCACAGATATATTCAGTAAATTAAAATCCAAATGCAAAATATATAAATTTTATTCTGTAGCAATGGATGAATCAACAGATACTGCACAACTAGCCATTTTTATTCGTGGGTTTGATAGAGACTTCACAATTGTAGAGGAATTAGCCAGTGTCGTTGCACTTAAAGGTACAACAGTTTTGTATTCGAGTCTGACAAACTTTGGATAAATGTAAGTTAGACTTCATTAATGTGTTTGCTATAACCAGGGATGGTACTAAATTTTTGAATGGAGAGAAAATAGAAGCAACAAAATTACCAAATCTGATATGCAGGGAAGTGAAAATACTACTATGATGACTTTGCACTGCATCATCCACCAAGAAAATTTGTGCAAAAAGTCTTTCTCAAACTTTGAACATGTGATGAATGTTGCTATAAAGTGGTTAATTTCATTCGGTCTAAAGGACTTAATCACAGGCAATTTCAGTAGTTCTGTGTGATTTGGAAGCTGAATATGATGGTGTTGTGTATTATGCGGAAGTACGTTGGTTGAGCCAGGGAAAGATGCTTCCGTGCCTGCTTTCTTTGAAGAGCAAAGTCCAAAAATTCATGGAATCTAAAGGGAAATCTATTAACGAATTCAGTGATGAAAACTGGTTGAGAAACTTTGCATTTCTTGTCGATATTACAGATCATCTCAATGATTTAAACTACCACTTGCTGGGAAAAGATCTAGGTACTTACATATTATCGCAACCAGGTTGGCGCGATTTGCAAGTTTGAGTAAAAAAGTATGAATAGAAAGAAAATGTACATTTATTAATTACAGATAATTTTTAATACAGTTTTTATATTATTTTGTTTTAAAATATAAAATAGCAATTAAACCCTTCCGGTTTCGAATTTGAATAAGTTGCAGAATTATTTTTTCGGCGGAAATCTTTTGGCTATTGCTTTTAGCACTGATTGAAAACTGTCTTCGCCATTAACAGCTTGAGCTTGGCGCTATATAAATTCGATAAGGTATGAGTCAAGATGATGACGGGCTGTTCCTCTCTGTTTTTTGTTGCGCCATTTGGCTGAGCCCCACATGCACTCTAGATGTTGTGTGTGAACGCCCGTGTTGGGATCCACAAAGTTATATTTGTGATTAACAGTTCCATGCAGAAATCCAGCATTTTCGAACTCACTTGTATTGTATCCTTTCCAGCAATCCGAATAAATGATGCTTCGTCCTCCTGATTATTTTCGCAAATTTTTTCCATGAGGGTAACGGCGCTTCTGTTAGGTACAGTAACCAAAAAAGTCTTTCTTTTCTCGGCAAATTCTGCCGAAAACCCATTGCTGTGGTAGTACACGCCAAGTGTTATTTTTTCTTTTTACAAAACTACGTATAACACGTACGGTTGCTGTAAGT